TGTTTACACTCCTCTTAAGAAAACTGCCAGTTCAAAGACACCCGAGAAAGGGAACAAAAATAAAAAAGAAGAAAGAGAGAAAAGACCAAAGTTTAAGTTTCAAGACAGGCCGGTTCTGCAAACATCGTCAGCCGCAATATGGGAAATCTCTGCTCCCTCCATTCAGATTTATACAGGAGAGTATGATTTTTGTTCTAAGTGTACATGATTTTACAGGTTTTTAAAATATTCTATTAATCCTCTAGAATCTTAAACAGCAATAATAGATTGCAGTGATACACCTGCAGACCATTAAATTAGAATATGCCACAGGCTGATGTAAAATATTAATTTTGGATGTTATTTGTCATAGCGAATAGAAACAAATGGGATTTCAGTATGAAACACAACTGCCATATTGCTTCTCCATTCTTTTAGAAAAAATATGAGATATGCACCTTCACAGTTGTATCAATGCATGGATCTTCATCGCGAGCTGCTGCTGCACTGCACCGCACTGTGTAACACTGCAGGCTCTCACAAAGAGGAAAGAAAAACTGATGAAGAAAAAAAAAAGAAAACTTGAATTAATCCAGCACAAAAACTAGACAGAATCAGCTCTGTGATGCAGACAGATGGGCATTCTGCACTAAAACATTAATCCACCCAGAATGACCGAAGAGGCTGCGAAGGACTCATAAATGAGCCAAAGAGGAAAATATATTTAAAAAAAAAAAAAGAAAGTTACCTTGTAATGACATGCAGGAACTGTGGAGTAAGAACTGCCTGCTCTGACCTCTCCGAGCACTGGTAAGTAGAAATCAGTTCTACTAACTTCCCAACAGAGTAGAGATATCCAACATGAGGCAAAGAAAAAAAGCAGAAGAGACTCAGTAGTTCTCTCTTCTCAGTTTCCTCATTTGCTGTCATAGAACTCCCTAGACATAACAATAAAAAAGGCATCTCATATACTTCATAAATCAAAACCATTCTGTTTCTTTGTGACCTGATGCCTAAACTACACTCTCAGACGTGCCCAAGTTCCAGACCAGTTTTATTAGTAGCTATTGAAAAGAATATGAACAACAGCATATCAGCAGGTAACAATCAATTTGTTATCTCATCGGAAGTAATTTACAACAGAAGCATGGATGTACTCACAAGTGAAGAATTTCCATAGATCGAACAGCACATGGAAACTGGGAAAAAAAGAAACTGGGAAAAAGCGGGGAGATCTAGATGAGATACAAAGAAGTTTTTACAGTAAGGTTGGTGAGGTACTGACACAGGCTGGCCAGAGAGGTGCCCTGTCCCTGCAGACATGCAAGGTAAGGCTGGATGGGGCTGTAAGCACCTGATCGACCTGTGGGCATCTCCATTCACTGCAGGGGAGTTGGACCAAATGACT